AGTAAACTTCCTAACGCTCTTACTGCCAATGGAACACCTCCACATTTTTTTACAATTTCTATTCCAATTTCCATAAGGTTGGGATGTTGCTTTTCTTGCCCTTCTTTAAACGCATATTTAACAAACACTGACAAGCAATCATCGAGAGAAAGACCTTCTAACTTGTATGTAGGTACAGTGCCCAAAATTGAGGCAACACGATCACCACGTGTAGTTACGATAATTTTACTTCTACTAACACATTCTATCAATAAATTTCTTAATTCAACCCACAACCCATAATCTTCATTCCAAACATCATCCAAAACTAACAAATACTTTTCATGGCTTAATCTATCATGTAGGATATTTTTGCAATTGGTCTATATTCTCGTGAACATTTTTTTGCCCAGTTGCAGATTGGATGATGTCAATTAATAGTTTTTTTAAAACAAACTCATCTGACACATATACCCATATTTTCAACGTAAAATATTCGTCCACCATTTTATCATTATACACGAATTTGGCAAGTGTCGTCCTAGACCTTCTATCCCAACAATAGGAATGACAGAAACATTTTCATGGCCATCACTTGGACGTAATAATTGTTTCATAATCTCCTCTTTATCTTTATCCCTACCAATAACATCTGAAGCACGCACAAAAGAGTGAGTTTCCCTATTCCAACCAATAACATGATTGCCATCAACTTTCTCAATGAGATTAAAATTATCCTTATCAGCTGCTATTTTTGCTAACCTCTTTTTAATCTCCTTAATTTTATGCCCCAACGTAAAACGGAAAGCAATTGGATTTGAAGATGAAAAAAAGTGGCGTACCTTTCTTGTACTACTTTGACTATTCACCACTTGTTTATGCACCTCAATTTCGTCTAAACCATCTTCGACATCATAGCAGACCTCTTTAAGCTTTCCCAGCCAAACTTTTAGCTTCTGATTATGAATCTGTTTGCCCTCAGCATCTAAGAGAACAGCTTTGATAGTGGTTAAGGTGTCAACAAGCTCTCGTGCATCTTTTTGGACACCCCATGCCAACCTAATTTCATTGGAAGCAAGGGAGAATAGCTTACTCAAGGGTACCTCAGCAATAACAGAGACGATTGTTTCTGCCATATCTTTGAAAGAAAAGAAAGTTGCAGGATTTTATGTTTGTGAAGTGGTGAAGTTAAATTGTTGTATGAAATAACAATAAGCGAGCATCTACACGTCATATATTCTTCTTCTTTGTTGAATTAATTATTGGACCATATGTTGACCACCCGCAATTACATCATTGCTTTGACGCGCAGAAAATTCCCGATCCATCACATTCTGTAACTTGCAAGCCTGTTTCGAATCGAACACGTATGCATAAATAGGGTAAGGACACGTGGCAGCACTAGATCACTAACCTGATTATAGTCAAAAATGCACTTGGCCATCTTGGGTTCCACGCTTGACTCTGCGACCGTTGACGTATTTCCTCAACAAAACTGTGGGGTCATCACTTTTCAGGTCTTGATGGGCGGCTCTTTTTGTGATGATATGATGACATCATCATCTTAGGATTAATGAACGAAATTTATTTTTTTAATTGTAATAAATTAATTGTATTGAAATAAACAATTTAATTATTCAAGTGAGAATTTTCAATAAAAAGGGTTAACTTTTTAGTAAAAATTTAGATATAAACATAATAGAGTAAATATAAGTTACAAAATTATTTGATTCTTCGTAATTTTTTTTATAAAATCAAGAGATAAAGTCATATTATTTATATAGTGATTTGTCTGCATATCAATTCAAACATTGCTGATTTGATATGATGTCCCCTTAACTTTTTTAGTTAGTTTTGAATTTAGAGGTGGGCAATGATCGGGCCAATCGGTCTTGGGTTTGGGCCCAACGAGTCCGATCCTAAATTGGGATCAAGTCTATTTTGGTTAGAACCGGTTCTAGGCTCATAAACTTTTTCAAGGCTCGGACCAATCATATGCCCATTGGACCAGTACTATGGGCTTGAAAAATTTCAATATGTCCCTTTAATACATAAAATTTCATTTTAGTCTCCATATTTATTCAATTTAAGAACACTCAACAATGAATTATTGTTACACTTTCAATACTTAAGGTAAGTAATTAAGAGAGAAAGTATGTTAACAAATAACTAACATAAATTTATTCACAACATTATGGACATAAATACATACGTATATACATACATAAAACTTATATCATGATTTCCTTCAATAATCTTAAATATACTAATATTAAGTGTCTACCCTTTAACTTAAGTTTCCAATTTGTGATATTAAATCAAATATTTGAATCTCTTATACATATCATTTTCATCAATTTCAAATAAATTTGATTTATCAAAAATTATAGAAATTTGTCTTCTAGAATTTACTAGGTAAACAGAAATCCAAATTAAAAAAAAAAAAAATTACAAACTTCTACAACAAAATATGGGGTCTTAACATTTTTGTCCACACCTTTTGTGGTTTGCTTGAGCTCCAACCTTTGGAAAAGTGACAGTTCAGTCCCAAGAGTTAACACCCAATGAAGACCTTTAGTCCCAAGAGCTAACATTTTTTGTGGTTTTTTCAGGCTCCAACCTTTGCTCTCCAACCGTGCGGAGCATTCTTATTGCATGGGAAACTTCTTTGAAGACAATTTCATCTGAGAATATTACTGACAATTTATATCTCAACTGCCAACACCCTATAATCTACTCATCGTCGGCCAGAATTTCAACAACTATTTTTTTTTTCTTTTTAATAAGGGAAAGTTGGATTCTGAAACTAATAAGGATGAAATAGCTTTTTCATGAAACATAATGTGAGAAAATGTAATTCATCTATTTTTTTTTTTTTTTTTTTTCCGAACCATACCATTAAACATTGATCTATTAATTTGTAGCGCTACATTTGTTATTTACAATTCTAATGAATTTATGTTAGAAAAAAAAAAATTAAGTTCCCCAAAAAAAAAAAAAAAAAAATTAACATGTAGGGATTTGTAGAGAATAAATTAAAATATGATTTGAAATTTTAACAATTGCAGACGGGCTTATAGAATTTAAAATTAGCTTTTTTTTGAGTTTATTTAAAGTGTAAAAATATCATTTTTCTTTATAATATTCTATAAATATGACTTGATATATTCTTGCATATTAGATCCCTTTTTGGTAATTTAATACAGAACACACACTTCTAAAATTTTCTCAATCAAACAACTATTAACATTTTCATATTAGTTATATTTTCGCTCTACTTCAATAAACTTCTATTCTATAATCTTCACTCAAGTAAGCTTCTTCTAAAAGCTTCTATATTTTCATAAGCCGTACCAAACAAACCTCTTTATCAAATGAAAAGGAAAGAGACAGAATGAAAGGGACAAGACGAAAATACTAATATAAAAAGGATTTAATAAATTAATTAAACGAAACACTAATCAAAGTTTTCAATATTTTCTGAAAGCATTGAATGACGACAGAATTAAATGACCTCAAGAATCATATGAAATTGCTATATTTTCCCATATCCATAAGTTTTAATTAAAGCTAACTCCAGTTGACATATAAAAAGAACAAGAAATATGGTAAAATTTTCTCTTTACATCTAGCAGGATGCTCTTCAAATTCATCGTCGAATATTGTCAGTATACAACTATAGCTTCACACCATTATAAGTTCTACAATAGTTTCGACTTAGAAAATGCTGCCAACATCAATAAGTTGAATAGTTTTGCATGGATTATAGTTGGCAGAAGGAGCAATACTATTCACTTGATTTCAGTGAGTCAAGAAATTTCTCACCTCCCCTCTGCAATTATCTCACTGCACCGAGTGACGTTTACAGGAGTGAGCAGTGGGTCAACTCCAGAACTAAGATCAGTTGCATTCTCAGATTGGCTATTCTTTTTGCTATAACTTCTTGCAGATGTGGATGTATCAATATCTTCGTTAAGAAAGCAGTTTGTCGTATCCTGAAAATCCCAATCAGCCAAATAACTTGGCTTTGAAGTAACAGTTCCCACTTCTATGTCTCCAGTGAGCATGCTAAGAACGTGTGACATTGGTGGCCGTAATGCTGGTGATGCTTGAGTGCACAACAGAGCCACTGCTATTACTAGAAGAGCTTCGATTTAATTAAGCTCTGTTAACTAGGGATCTATCAACCCCAAACTTTGATTACTTTCATGAAGACTCCAGGCCTGGAAATAGCATATAGACAATTCAAAAGAAATGTGTTTTTTCTCAATTAGGGGATCATAGAAGAAAGCAAACAAAATTAACAAATCAAATTTCAAATTTATTTCCTTACCCACTCAAGGAGATAAATCTTTTCACTATCCAAGTTACTATCAGAGTTTGCTCTTCCACTGATAATCTCCAAAGCAACAACACCAAAACTGAACACATCAACCTTTTCTGTAAGTGTCCACGCATTGCATACTCCGGTGCCAGATAACCACTACAAGATAATCAAGTGTTTCTCCTGGTTAAAATCCAAAAGTCAAGTCTGGATACTGCTCTCAAATTGAATTTAATGATCAACCGTATCCCATGTGCCCACTCGCCTTTACAATGTGAAAACCTTTAACATTTAGCAAAACTTGAAGAATAACAAAGCAATACAATCACAAATCTAGTCCCCTCCAAAGATTATAGCATCAATCACTATGTGACTATAAAAGATGACACAAATAGTTCTCTCAACATACATGTATTGCTCTCAGTCATTTTCATCAATAGATGTATGTTGACATTTTGAAATACTCTACAACAAAATCTACTAGGTATTGTTGGTAACTTCCAAGACAGCATGTATAGAATACATCATATTATACTTTGCAGCACATTACAAGTATCAAGGAAGAGTGGCAGTCAAGAAATGATTGAAGGAGCTTACATGGTCCCTGCAACTCTTGTGCTGATGTGAGTTTTCGTGTCATCATACAACTTTGCCAAACCAAAATCTGATATCTTGGGACAGAGTTTTGCATCAAGTAAAATATTACTTGCTTTGACATCTCGATGTACAATCTTTGGCCTTGAATCCTCGTGAAGATATGCTAGACCTCTCGCAATTCCCAGGCATATATTGAACCGGGTAGGCCAATCAAGATGCAAATCCCTTTTTCCTGTAGAAACAGTGGCTACAATCATTTAGATCTTCAGGAGTTATTGATTTGGAGAATTAAGGATTTAGGAACAATGTATCCCAAGGAAAGATTGGTGCTCATTAAAACATTGTGAATCCTGCTCTATTGAACTTTTTGCTTGCTCTTATTAGTTTGGCGAGCAAATTTTGTAGTTTTGGGCCTTCTTTAACAGAGCAGGACAAATGTTTCATTCTTTAACCTTAGATGGTTTAAACATTTGAAAGCAATATTGTATTTTGTACAGCAAGATAAATCACAAGAGAGATATCATATCAATTGCATAAATGTCGCAGCTGATTGCAAGAAAAGAAAAGTAGAAAATTTCTAAACTAAGGCTGATCTTCATACCAAACAATACTTGATCAAGGCTTTTGTTTTCAAGGTATTCATAAATAAGGAGGAGCCTGGTTCCCTCGATGCAGCAACCATGCAATTTCACAAGATTGCGATGTTGTACTGCAGTTATGGTAGCAATCTCATTAAAAAACTGATTTTTCCCCTGGTGGGATCCAAGTGAAAGTTGCTCCACAACTATCACCCTTCCATCAGAAAGCGTACCCTGTAGCACCAGATTTAATAACATAAATCATGTCTGCTCCATCCTTGGTGAGTATCCAGGTAAAATTAACCTAGTTTTTTTGTTATAATGTCAAGCTATCATCATACCTTACATACACTACACACTCAAGAACCCAAATTCCCAGTATTTATCTATTGTTTCTTACTTGTAAATGTAGGATATAAAAGTTACCTTGTACACAGGTCCAAATCCTCCCTCGCCTAGCTTATTTGGAGGGTTGAAGTCTTTTGTTGCAGATTTCAACTCAGCATAACCGAAAATTTTTGGTTTAGGACCTATTCCAAGTAACACTGCATATTGAAGCAAGATAAAAGATTACATAACATGGATGGCTTTGCATGATAAGAGATGAATTACACCAGCAGCTTTGCCTGTTTCTCGGAATATCCTATTCCAAATTTTGGAAGCAAGAGCTCAAATATCATGACCTTTATAACAAATAGTTATTTTAAATCTAGTATCTATGTTCTTAAGTGAACTAGAAAAAAGTTCACGCTTCACCTATATTGTGGGATGCTAAAGTAAAACTAAATTCATTGTTTTCCAAAAAAAATTGGTTTCACAGATTTTACCTTCTGCATCATCATTGCCTCTTTTTATGTTCATGTAAAAAATTAAAAATATCAGTATCAAGCCCAAACTTCCGAGAGCCATGGCAATACCAACAATCAGCCAAGCCTGGTTTTTCTTTCGTGCAATACCAACAGTTGGTATGAAATCTAAGTAGGAAAATTCAGTTATTGTATATCAGAATGAAGTATAGAAGCACATATATTGTAACTCATCTTAAATGAAGAGTCAAAGTAATCACATACTTCACCTGGAATGACACTAAGAGCTGAAATTAATGGCCCAAGCTACCTCCAGTAGGGATGCAGCAGGTCCCTTTACCAGCCCAAAATAGGTGAATTTCAAGATAGTTCTCAGTTACCATAGCATTAAATTTCTCTGTAGTTGCTCTTCAGGATTTAACACATTAAAAGAAGCTCCACCATCGTCCGCTTCATACACTATATTGCCAACTCTCAACTGTTTACCACACCACCACACTTGATTGCTAACCTTGAATCTACAAATGCAATGACAAAAGCTCTAATGATAATATTAATCTGAATACAACAAAGAATCAGACAAAATTTGAGAAGTACTTTTATTTTAATAACTTCCAATAACTTAATACAAAGACCATCACTAAACCAAACTATAACAGCTGTAAACACATTTATCAGACATGGAGCTTGATGGAGAACTATTATTTTTAAAGTTTATGGCCAATGCATACATATAAAACAATAGAGTTAACAAAAGGAAGGAGAAACAAAGAATCATTAGTTCAAATGTTTTTGAAATTCAAATCTAATGATGAAGAAGAAGAGCAATAAATATATCATTAATATTTACCTACTAATCATACCTAAATTTCTGTCGATTTGATGACCTTGCCATCGAGTTGAATGTAGGGGATATGAGAAATCTTGGACCAATCTTCACCTGTTTCTGGTTCATATCTTTCGCTCAGCTTAGGACTGTCTTCAATTGCTAGTTCTCTCAAAGAGATGAGACGATCCATATCCTTGGGTAAAGATGACAATTCTGGACACTTCTCAATAACAAGAACTTGAAGTTTTTACATCGACTCTGGTAGTGCCTTCAAGTTGGAACAATTTACAATTTGCAACCTTTCCAAACTGCTAATGGAACACTGAATAAGCCATTGCGGAAATTCCACCAATTGTGGTAATTCTCTTATACAAAGAAATCGAAGGTGAGGCCATGTGCTACTGAGTTCATCATGATTGTCTTGCTTATCCGATCCTATGCTCAAATCAAGATTAAGCCTTTCACAACTTATCAAAAGAAGATTTTCTAATGAGCTTAGGCTTCTCACACCACGTGGTAATGAGATAAGTCTTGGACATTCAGAAACGCTTAGAGTTCGAAGAACTCTTAGGTGACCAATATCTTCAAACAAATATTCTAAATTATTGCAATTGCAAATCCACAAACGTCGAAGAGAATTCAAGCAACCAATACCATTGGTTGGTAGATGCGTTTGTATCGTAGTTAATGCGAGATGTCTAAGACTAATTAAGTACTTTACATCTCTTGTTAACGCTTTTAATTCCTCACAACCCAATAGTGATAGAAATTGCAAATTTTGTAGCTTGTAAATGGAACTTGGGAGTTCTTTTATTTTAGGGTTGCTCCCTAGATCAAGAAATCTTAGATGCTTCAAATTACCAATTTTTTTAGGCACTAGGTCAATATTTGAAGAAAATAAATTTAACATCCGCAAGAATTTACACCTTGAGACGATTAATTCCAAAAATGATTGGCTAATACCAGTACTTTCACCAGAAATCGGATAAAAAGTAATGCTTCTCAGATGACCCAAGTTAGGGAAAATGTTTGGAACATCTATTATAGGTGCATCAACAAAATAAAATGATACGTGTCGATGACTTTTGGTACAAATTTGGTTAGCAGATTTCACTATTAAGCACTCATTTCTCATCAATGATGTGGCAAGATCGTGCATGAGATCATGAATTTTAAACGTGTACAAACTCTCATGCAGTTGTACAATATCTTGGAAAAAAGATCTCGAAATCAATTCTTTTACGTATTGTTTACCAATATTTTCCAAATCTTCATTTTCATTGTGCGATTGAAGAAGCCCATGGTCCATCCAAAATTGAACCAAATGAAGACTAGTAAATTCAATGTCTTTTGGAAAAATAGAACAATAAACAAAACATTGCTTTAAGTAAGATGGCAGATGATTATAACTTATTCTTAGCGCATTTAAAATGTTATTTTCTTTTTGATCCAACTTCCAAATCTCATTATCCCTCAAATTTTTCCAATCTTGTTCAGAAGTTGAGGAATAAAGTAGACTTCCTAACGCTCTTACTGCCAATGGAACACCTCTACATTTTTTTACAATTTCTATTCCAATTTCCACAAGGTTGGGATGTTGCTTTTCTCTCCCTTCTTTAAAAGCACATTTAACAAACACTGACAAACAATCATCAAGAGAAAGACCTTCTAACCTGTATGTAGGTACAGTGCCCATAATTGAGGCAACACGATCACTGCGTGTAGTTACGATAATTTTACTTCCACTAACACATTCCCTCAATAAATTTTTTAATTCAAACCACAACCCATAATCTTCATTCCAAACATCATCCAAAACTAACAAATATTTTTCATGGCTTAAGATATCACGTAGGATATTTTGCAATTGGTCAATACTCTTGTCAACATATTTTTTCTGAGTTACAGATTCGATGATGTCAATTAATAGTTTTTTCAAAACAAACTCATCTGACACACATACCCATATTTTCAACTTAAAATATTCACCCACTATTTTATCATTGTACACCAATTTGCCAAGTGCGGTTTTTCCTAGGCCTCCTATTCCAACAATAGGAATGACAGAAACATTTTCATGGCCATGACTTGGACGTAACAGTAATTTCATAATCTTCTCTTTATCTTTATCCCTACCAATAACATCTGAAGCACGCACAAATGAGTGAGTTTCCCTCTCCCTCTCCCTCTCCCAACCTATAACTTGATTGCTATCAACTTTCTCAGTGAGATTAAAACTATTTTTAATAACTGCTATTTTTGCTAACCTCTTTTTAATCTCCTTAATTTTATGCCCCAACGTAAAACGGAAAGCAATTGGATTTGAGGATGAAAAAAAGTGGCGTACCTTTCTTGTACAGCTTTGACTATTTACCACTTGTTTACGCAAACCTTCCACCTAAATCACGTCTAAAAAATCTTAAGCATCATAGCAGATCCCCTTAAGCTTTCCCAGCCAAACTTTGAGCTTCTCATTATGGGTCTGCTTGTCCTCAGCATCTAAGAGAACAGCTTTGATAGTGGTTAAGGTGTCAACAAGCTCTTGTGCATCTTTTTGGACACCCCATGCCAAACCCATTTCATTGGAAGCAAGGGATGATAGCTTATCCAAGAGTTTCTCAGCAATAACAGAGACGATTATTTCTGCCATATCTTTGAAAGAAGAGAAAACTGTAGGATTTTGTGTTTGTGAAGTAGTGAAGTTGAATTGTTGTATGAAATAATGGTAAGCGCGTATCTGCATATCATATATATTATCTTCTTCTTTATTGAATTAATTATGGACCATACGCTTCCACACGCAATTACATCATCACTTTGACCAAAGGAAATTTCTGACACGTCGCACTCTGCAACCTGCAAGCCTGCTTAGTTAGCTGTATGAAACCAATTGAAATCGAACACGTATGTATAGATCAGGCAAGAGACACGTGGCAGTTATCAGATCACTAACCCGATTATAATTAAAAATGCTTATTAATTAAGCTATGACTAATGACTCCTCCACCGTTGATTTGTTTTCACACGTTGGATTCAACTAAACTGTGGGGCATCACTTTTAAGGTCTCGTTTAGCTCTTTTTGTGATGATGATATCATCATCTTGGGTTTAATGAATGAAATTCCATATAATTTAATTAATAATTAATTGTATGTTGTATTAGAGACAAGAGTTAAAATAATTAATAACAACTTATTTGCACTTTTTTTTTTCTTTTTAATATGGGAATTAGTGGCCACCCTTTGCCACAATTAATAAATTCAACGATCATAAAAAAATAATTATAAAGGCTGCTTTTTTTTTTCTTTTTTTTTTGTTCTGATAGCATTGTCAACGGACATAGATGCCAGGTGGGTTCATTACCACCTTATCTAATGTCTAAGTGGAAAGCTAAGTAAGGAGTACGATTCCTTTTCCGCTTTGTATAATCCTAAACCCAACTATTTTAGATTGAATAATATTACACGTGTATTATTTTTATATAATATTATATGATAAGATATGATTTATTAATTTAAAGTTAAAATTAAATTTTTATCAAATTATATTTTGTCACATAATATTTTATGACAAATATTATATGAAAATGATACACATTCAGTATTATTCTTTTACATTTGAAAGTTAAGTATAATGACATTTCATAAAGCTAAAGCAAATGTTGCCGATGAGTTCCCTCATTTCTTTTGATTTTAGTTTTTAAATTCATTATTTTATAGAGACTACTGCTAAGAACCATGATCGGGCTGCAAAGTCCTCAATTAAAAAAAAAAAAATTATATATGTAATTTTTTTTAACATTTGATATGATGAAATAAATATAATTTAGTACAGCCAAATCTAGATTCTTTGATGTAGCACCTATAGAATAAGATCTTTCAATCTTTTTATCTTATCTACTTACGAAAAAAAATAAAGATGATATTTAGAAGTTATTTTTAATTTGAAATTATTCTATAAGTTACAAAATTATTAAGTTCCCCATATTTTTTTATGAAATTAAGAGACGAGCTCACAATACTTATACAGTGATTTATCTACACAATCAATTAAAACATCATTAATATGATCATTTAACTTTTTGGCATAGTTTTCAGAGAGAAATCTATACTCGCACTATGATCCATGTGGTCAAGTTAGAAAAACCAAATAGTTTACCACCTTCCAAAGAGTTTCCACCAAATTTCTTGTTTTTACGAGATGACTCTTCCACCGTTGATGTGTTTTCACACGCTGAATTCAACTAACCCTGTGGGGTCATCACTTTTAAGGTCTTTGATTGGCTCTTTCTGTGATAATGACATCATCATCTTGGAATTAATGAAAGAAATTCAACTTTCCAGGGGGTGACTGGCGTACTAGCCTCCACTCATCGATGACGGTGTTCAGACCGACCTACCGGTGTGATTGTTTAATTGTTTCTATCACATCTTATTTAAAATTTATGTTTATTTTACATTTTTACTGAGTCTTAAAATCTAGTTTTATCCTATTTAATTTAAAATATCTAAATTTTTTTAATTTTTAAATTTATTAATTTAATTAAACACCCTCAACAATAAAAAAATTATAAATTAACAAAATATTCTCACATACTCACATCTTCCTGACAACTGTAACCAATTATTGATATTTAATAAGTAAATGGGAGTGTTTTTGTTAATTTTAAAACTTTTATTATAAAAGGTGTTTAACTAAATTAACAAATATTAGGGATTAAAAAATAATCTTACTAAATACATTATCAAATTCAATTCTTATTATCATACTAATAACTCAATTCAACATTTTTAAAAATACTATTCAAAATAAAATAATTTAAAATATGTGTCCATTACAAAATTATTAACTTCTTCATATTTTTTTTTTTTTTTTTATGAAATGAGAGACGAGCTCACATTATTTATATAAGTGATTTGTCTACACAATCAATTCAAAAATCATTAATATGATCTAGTGTCGCTTTAACTTTTTGACTTAGCTTTTAGTGAGAAATATTATATGAGTTATACCCACAGTGTGATCAATGAGGTCAAGTTAGAAAATCTGGATGAAATAGCACCTTCAAAAGAGTTTCGTCCAAATTTCCTGGAGGAAAATTTGGACAGATAGTCAACAATATAATCCGAGTGCTTAAATCCACATAAAGCTAAAGAAAACATTTGCTATCATTCACATGACACATTTTGATATTTAGAAGTTATTTTTAATTTGAAATTATTCTATAAGCTACAAAATTATTATGTTGTTCATATTTTTTTACGAAATAGAGAAACGAGCTCACATTATTTATACAATGATTTGCTTGCACAATCAATTAAAACGAAATCGTGTCACTTCAACTTTTTAACTTTACTTTTTAGAGAGAAATATTATCTGAATAATATTCATAATATGGTAAATGAGGTCAAGTTATAAAAAATGGATGGTATAGCAGAATAATTTGACAGATTAAGTCAACAATATAATCAGAATGCGTAGTATTGTCCTCACTAAAAATGCAACTTGGTCATCTCGGGTTCAACGCCTAGCTTTTTTCTCATTTTCTCACCTTTGTTTTTGACTTTCTACGATACGACTCTTCCACCGTTGATGTGTTTTCACACGCTGGATTCAGCTAAACTGTGGGGCCATCACTTTTAAGGTCTTTGATGGGCTCTTTTTGTGATGATAATAATCATCATCTTGGAATTAATAAAGGAAATTCATTTTTTTAATCGCGGGAAGGGGGCCACTACTTCCAGGGGGGAGACTGGCGGACTAGCCTAGTTACTTCCCAGTTCCCACTCATCAATCACGGTGTTCAGACTTCAGACCCGCCTACCCACTCATTAATCACGGCATTGGAACTAGGTGACCATTTTTTACTTTTGTCAACTAATTTCTTAATTTCAGAAATTAAACATGACAGTTCATTCTAATTTCATAAGGTTTAGAATATGTTATATTTATTTTTACCTACCCGACCCGATAATTTTAGTATTAATTATACTAAATTACCTTTATACTATATATTTAATTACAAGATTATCTTATATATATACTCTTTTTTTTCAAACCCTATATGGATGGATGGATACAGTTCGTGAAAAATTATTTATATATTTGATATGTATTAAAAAATAAATTAATATTTAAAAATTGTTTCTAGAATTGAAAACATAAAAAAAATTACAATTTATTAATATTTAAAAATTCACATTATAAAAATAGGCGGGTTTAAATCGGGCCTGAGGTTACAAAAAACCCGTTAGGCCAGACTTAGGCTTTATTTGTCATAACCGTGACGGACCCAGGCCAGACTTGAGCCTTTGTTTTGAGGTCGGGCTTGGGCTTGGCCAAAGGATACCCAATCCTGACCCGGCCCGATGCCATCACTAACTGCTAGTAATATTAAGGGTTCCAAGAGATATTATATAAGATTACTAATATAATATTAATTTTGATCATATTTTACCCTTAATCTTTTTTTATTTTAGACACATTTACCTCATGTATGTGTCCAACAACAATTACCTCATACCTTCCAAAGAGTTTGCTCCAAATTTCTTGGCTCCGTTTGGTTCAAAATTTGGGGGTTTTGGGAAAAGTTTTTTGAAAAAAGTTAAAAAAAAAAGTTGAATTGGGCGGGTATTACGATGTAGGATTTATAAATTAATAAAATACCCTATATATTTATTTTTTTTACAAAATACCCCCTATAATAAAACATTAAAAATTAACAAAAATACCCCTAACCCACCCTCAAACACCCCCAGTCGGCCACCACCACCGGAGGTGGCCTAAGTCACCTTATGGGCGCATGACCGGCTGGATCTTGCCGGTCATGCGCCGATATGGCCTTTTCCAGCCAGATCCACGGTGGATCTGGCCGGCAAAGGCCAGATCTTGCCGGCCAGATCTGGCCGTCAACCGCCAGATCTGGCCGTATTTGCTCTCAACGACGGCCAAAAAACGGTTGTCGTTGATGGTCAACGACGACTGTTTGTTGGCCGTCGTGATGGTGGTGGTGGCCAGAATCTGGTAAATGTGGATTATTGGGGTGTTTTTGTAATTTAAAAAAAATATTTAGGGGTATTTAATTAAATTATCAAATTTAAGGGGTTTAAAAAAAATTGAATAATATTGGGAGTAGTATTCCTAAAAATCTGAGTTTTTGAGTATTTTACTGTTTAACTTTTTTGAGAATACTAAAAGTAGTATTCCCAAAACTGAAACAAACGCGGCCCTTGGTTTTACGATACGACTCTTCCACCGTTGATGTGTTTTCACACGCTGGATTTAACTAACCTGCGGGGCCATCACTTATATTGGCTTTTTTTGTGATAATGATATCATCATCTTGGAATTAATGAAAGAAATTCAACTTTTTTATCGGGGGAAGGGGGCCCACTACTTCCCAGTTCCCACTCATCAATCACGGTGTTCAGACTTCAGACCCACCTACCCACTCATTAATCACGACACTGGCATTAGGTGACCATCTTCTTACTATTGTCAACTAATTTCTTCATTTCAGAAATTGAACATGACAGTTCGATTCTAATTTCGTAAGGTTTGGAATACATTATACTTAAACTACAGTAATAACATTCACATATTGGGATTTCTTGAAGTTTATCCTATTGGAGATTGTAAGTTTCCTTGAAGTAACTTACAATGAGAATTCTAAGAAAGTGAAAATAGGTTGATCAAGGCCAAACACCCGCTCTTTGTCTC